GTGAGTAGACGCATGTCTATTAGTGTATATTTGAAGTTGCGCATCTACAAATGCTATATGATTGTCTTATATGTGCGCGTGATTATCGAATGTCAATTGGAAAATATCCGTTACGTGACTTGCGCATACCTTTCTTTTGTTCGACCGGTGCAAACAGTTGTTTCCGTTGCATATACACACATACGTTTGTCCAGGCATACATACTCACATACACGTGAATATTAAAAGTAAATGGACTACAGCACTACGCTAATTTTATCTCAGTTGCCATCATTTTTCTTTTTAAACTTTGTTATAAAACCAACATACAAATTTTAGAATATGGGTATGTAAGGTTTTAACACTGAGCACCGGCATATCCATTTTCATTTGTACACACATATATATTTTCTATATGATCGTATTTTCTACAGTATCTATTCACATACTACATACATCTACGAGTACATTGAAGCAAACATCCTTTTTTATTGACGGCATTTTTACACATTAAATCGTAACGTTCATTCAAAAATTTATACACAATCTTCTCCACACATAGGTTTGTTCCACACGAGCCCGCTGGCATGGTTGCCGTTTTGGCCGAAATGTACCATTTTTGGTACATTTTTTTCCAGTTTGGTACACAGGTACGTAACTTTCAGAATTGATACATTTTTTAATCTGGCAAAATGAGAAAATTATTACTTACATCATATGTGTACCTATTTAAAGGTCAACGTATATATTAATCAGGGAAATTTGCTATTAGAGCAACACGTCTAACTCAGGTAATTCAAAAGGCATTGCTGTGTATGCAGATTGCCCTTTACGGGTGCCTTGGCATTCAAGCAAAATCCAAGGCCATGACAAGAAGGTATTCCTAATGTAATAACTGCATGGAGCATACGCCTGTTGAATCCTGAACTATAATATCAGAACATGAAGGCGTTAGGTATGAGATCCCGGGAAATCAATCTTCCTGGTGGGCTACAATGAATACAACATTGCCTCTAGATTGCAGGCAGCATTAAAACTGGCTGAGAAGTTTCGGAGATCGAGCTACGGCATAAGGCCTAAGCTTTCAGGGGTCGACTGAAAGTCACATCTCATAGGTGTTAACAACTAGGCTGTCAGATAGACTGTCGTTTTGGCCATTCAATACAGCGAAAAACCCGATTATCACGTACTAAGCACTGTCCCAAGGACCAAAGTCAAGCACCAATCTCTCTGTGTAGCCATTAAAGGAGACATGCGCACCTGCCCAACAAAAGCACTGCAATATTCACATACTATACTAATTGACAATGGGACGTCCGTAAACCTAGCTGACCCAGGTCGCCAAATATCGATAAAAATTATCGAGGAATTAAGTGCCTTTTAGGTGTTAATTAGGGTCTGCAAATTGTGTTGTGTTGGTCAGCTAGGCTTACGTAAACCCTAATCACAGCGTACGGCAGTGCGCGCGAGTGACGAAAGCAGCCACAGTAGCATGCTGAAATGACTCGCTTATATATACACGAGATTTGGACAATTTTATCCAGACGTCCGATCGACATGTTTGAGTTATCGTTGCAAAGGTCTTACAGAGTGTGTTCAGAAAATGTATTCAAGCTTCATAAACGATTAACCGGATTCTTAAAAATTAGGCTAAAGTGTAGCGAAACAAAAAACGTTTTAATGTTTTTGCCGGTTTCAGGGGGTATGCGGGTACCAGAGTGTCCAGATTTGGCGATTTCGCGCCAATTTGGCGATTTTTTTTGGATATTTGCGCGTAAAAATTTAGGAAATCGCCATTGGCGATTTTTGGCGATTTTTCCCTTCAAATAAATTTTTTCTAATTATAAAAATATACCAAACTTAGTTTTCCACTATAATTTTACAGAAGAGGATAATGAACTGCGTGATAAACTTGACTTAAGAAGCATATTAAAAGACAGTCAAAAATGTTTAATCACCCTAATCGAAGATCTCTTGAAACGATTACCTAGTCAATTAAAAACTTTTAAAAAATTTTTGATTTTGTCAGCATAAAAGTGTGTGAATCACAAGAGGGTGAGTTTCAGGGACCTGCCAATTCACTGTTTGACTTTGAAGGAAAGAAAATCAGCGGAAACTGAATATTTAATTCTTTTAACTTTCCCATGGATAAACTTTTCTCAGAACCATTCCATCCAACTCTGAAGAATTTTGATAATTGCTTACGGAGTGAAAACCGCAACAGGCAGTAAAATGTTTGGAAATATAAGTAAATTCATATTTTTTTTTTGCCGCAATCACATGCTTTGTTGAGCGTGTTTTTTCCGTAATGAAACAAAAAAGGAAAAGATTCGAAATAGCATGAGGTTGGAAAGCCTTAATTCAATAGTTCGAATAAAGTGTTATACATATGAACGCTTATAGTTTCTGCTGCAAAACATTTCCAATATCAAACAGTATGTTATCAAGGTTGAATAGCTCAGTATATGACAACAACAGAAATGTAAATAATTCAGACACTACAGCATGGGCGTCGCTACGTAGGGGCAGGGGGGTGGCTCGAGCCCCCCCTAGACTTTGAAGTTTACCTTATATGTAGGTATACAATCTTCGATTATTACCGCAGCGACCACAAAAATGCAGTTGCCAATATAGCAACTCAGTTGCCAGCTTGCAGTTGCCATCTGTAAAACCATTTCAGCCAGTGGCCACCCAACTGAAGTTCGGTTGCCATATGCCTAAGTCGGCTCAGCTCGATGTTCTGGTCACATACATAAGTACACATTTTCATGAGTCTATCTCTTCTTATTCTGGTACTTGCATATATCGGACCAAAGTTATAATACCATTTCATGCTCATGAAAGGTATAGTTTTCAGATTTCAAATCGGTGAAGTAGGTAACAAAATATAAATTTAAACATTTTCTTAACGTCTTCCCAGTGTATCTATTAAAATGTCATTTTCAAAAATTTCGTGCATTGCTATGCCATGTCATTCCATCTCAAACATGCTGTTATAGCATATCATTGCTTCTTAGCTCAGCTGTTGTGTTTCTGCAGCATATTTTTAATACTGTTTAATCCTGCCTTGTATGAAAATGTATATAGCAAGGGCAAGGCCGAGGCCTAAAAGAGCCACATCTAAAGTTCTAAATGCTACAAAGAGCCACAAAAAAAGAACAAGAAAAACAAAAATTTTATTTTTAAATTAAATCATTATTAGAAATGAAAAACATTAATTTTATTATTATTCTATTGTACGTAAGATAGATATACAAGAAAATTCAAAAGATCCCTTTGCCGAGATTTTCAAAATCTCGTTTTAGGTCAGTTAAAGCCGTTCGTAACAATTCTGTTAAATGTTGGATAGTCAATAGGTAGGTTCTTTTAAAATCTCCAATAAAAAATGTCCAACAGCGAAATTCCGGCGAAATGTCATCTGTTATCTCACAAGAGCAAAATATCCAAAATAGTTCGCGAACAGAAAACTTACAGAAACTTACAAGTTAGACGAACAGCTGATAGAAATTTTGTTTACATTCAAAGGTATAAGATTGAAAACGTAAGAAAACAAATTCCGAAGTCTTATCCTGACACAGTTCACTGACTAAACTTACTTCTTACAAGTTTAATTAGTCGCATTTTACTATTTTAACTTCCAAACCATCAAATTAAATTTTGGGATTTGCGTAAATTCCAACCAGCTGTTTTTGATCTGCTGTTTTCTTGTTGGCAAATTGCTATTGGCAAAAATTTTTCCAGCAGAAACTAGCAGATTTCCCTCAGATGAAATGTCATTTTGCTCTCTCAATTTCCCTACTTTGCAAGTTTTTTACGTACGCGAACACAAAAAGCTGATAATTTTTATAACTTTCAATAATTAACAGGTACGCGAAAGCAACTAATTGTGAACGGTATTTTTAATTTACGAANCTGATAATTTTTATAACTTTCAATAATTAACAGGTACGCGTAAGCAACTAATTGTGAACGGTATTTTTACTTTACGTGACGAGTAGTACGGTATCGTATGTGACGATTCGAGCCCTGATACTTGTTGCCGGAATTCAAGCAATGGCAAAGCTTTATGTTGCATTTCCAGTGCCTTATCTTCTTTTAACTCTTTCGATGCGAAAAGCAGAGAAATCTCGGTTTTAGTTATTTTTTTAACTTTGGGATATCATTAGTGTTGCCGTTTTAATCCAAATGGATCAAAATGATACGTATTTCATCGAATTTTTAAAAGATACTTTTATTTTTAGCTTAGTATAAATTGCGATACATTTTAATTCAACAACTGCCAAAATGTACAAATCTGTACAAATGTACCAATCGTCAGTCATACGACTTTGTTAGGCCGATCTGTAGCAGCCACAGAATTGAGCTATATATCAAACTAAAGTGCAAGCTGCAGTTGCAGTTGACCATGTTTGTCAAAAAAGTAAAAAACGGCAGAAAATCGATAGTGAGTAATATAATTTCGGAAAATATTCGGAAAAGTTATTAGGTATTATTCATAGCTTTGAAATATATTTCACGAAAGCAAAAAATAAAAATAGCTGAGATCCCTTTCTTTTTTAAACAACTAGCACATCACTGACCATTAAAAAGGACACTGAATAACCGCAAACGTCAAAGCTTTGCACATTTTTGTATGTGATTTTAAAAATGAACGATCCAAAATTAGCCGGTATACATATGGGGCATTTCGCCTCAAGTGACCCAACTTTTGAAATCTATGTCTTCCGATCGGGATGAAATTTGCACCAAGGTTAGTCCTAAAAAATAGTAGTTATGACACAAAATTTCAATGGGATCGGTCAAACACACTCCGAGTTGGAGGGTCTAGAATTTTGACATTTTGGTCAAACGGCCATTTTTTCGGATCCATATAACTAATTACCTATTGTATTTAGAAAATTTTTTCAGGAATGTTTTCGATAGATTTCTCTTCAGTCTTTACAAATTTTATTTTTTTTTAATTAAAATGAATTTTTTTTAATTTTTTTTTTTAATAAAAAATAAATTTTTGCTTCTTTTTGCTTTAATCCCTTCAACAAAAAAAAACCACGTTTCTTCAGATACACGACGGCTTTCTGACGGCTTAATATCAAAATTCCCTACGCTATCAAAACGGATGCGAATTTGTGGATCGTGCAGGAAAGAGCTCAGCAAATTGAAGGAATTACCGACTTCGAAAAGTAATGAGCCTTGTGAAGACGTTATTCCAGATAGAGACCATATTGAATCTGAGAAGGATGACCGAATTTCCGATGACGATGGCTCCAACTTTACTGAAGAAAATATGACTTCAAGGGATGAGTGCCAAAACCAATACCACAAGGATGCAGTAAAAGTACTTGAGCAAATAAAAGAAAAGTACAAAACTTCAACTAGTAGAGCAGAAAAAATTCAACTTCTCACGCTTGCTCCACCGACATGGAGTCGCGCAAAAACAATGGCTGAGTTGGGAACATCAGAAAGAAAAGCCAGGATTGCTAAAAAATTAGTTGCAGAGCATGGCATACTCACACTCCCAAACACAAAGAAAGGAAAACCTTTAGAGTGCAAAACTGAAGCTCTAGTGACTCAGTTTTATCAGCGCGATGATATGAGTCGCCTGATGCCAGGGATGAAAGACTGGGTGTCTGTACGAATTGACGGTAAGAAAGTTCAAATGCAGAAGAGTATAATTCTCTGCAACCTGAATGAGCTGTTCGCGAGCTTTCAATCTGAACACGAGGATATTAAAATTGGATTCACAAAATTTACCCAGCTCAGGCCAAAACATTGCGTCTTGGCAGGAAGCAGCGGAACTCATACAGTATGCGTTTGCATTTATCATGAAAATGTGAAGCTGATGTTGAAGGAAATCAACTTGAATTATTTAACAAATGATTCGCCGGAAGATTTGAACAGTTACCGTGATTGCCTTAAATTGACAATGTGTCCTAATGTATCAACTTCTTGCCACTTGGGTGAATGCTCAAATTGCCCGGGAACTACGTTCATCAAAGAGAATTTGGTCAAGTCTTTTGACCGAGAATTTGTGGAGGAGGTCAAATTTGAATCTTGGCTGCAGTCTGAAAGGTGCACATTGAAAACAGTTATCTTAAGTGTGGACGATTTTGTGGAAGAAATTTGTACCGGATTGCTAAACTTGAGAACCCATGACTTTCTAGTCAAGGAGCAGCGGTCATTCTTCGAAACTTTGAAGATACATTTGCAGGCAGGTGAATTCGTTATTTCATACGATTTCGCAGAAAACTATAAATATGTTATCCAGGATGCCATACAAGCATTCCATTTCAATAACGACCAAGCAACTATATTTACAATAGTTATTTACTACATGAAAGATGGAAAACTGGAACATAAAAGTATGGCAATCATATCCGACGATTTGAAGCATGACGCCGTTGCTGTTTATGAGTACCAGAAGATAATACTAAATTATCTAAAATCCGAATTCACAGTAGCGAAGGTATACTACGTTTCGGATGGACCTCGTCAGCATTTTAAAAACAAAAGTAGCTTCGCAAATCTTATGGCTCATGAAACAGATTTCGATACACCAGCTGAGTGGCATTTTCATCCTACTGCTCATGGTAAAGGAGCATGTGATGGTATAGGAGCAAATATTAAAAGAAATGCAGCGAAGTATAGCCTCCAATGCTCTCATCAAGCCCGTATCTTAGATGCGAAAGCTTTATTCCGGTGGGCAAAGAAGTACTGTAAAGAAACTGAAATAATTTTTAGTAGCAAAGATGATCATGCGGAAACTGCGAAATCACTGAAGAGCAGATTCGATGCTGCAGTAACAATCGATGGTACCGCTCAATATCATGCTTTCATACCGATTGGCGATGGAAGGCTCAAGTTAAAGAAGTTTTCTTCCTCTACCCAATGTGATTTCTTTCCAAAAGCGAAACCCGAAGTGAAATCAACAGCAGAACCCAGTAACCCTAAGAAAGGATTGACGAAAAAAGCCACAAAGAAAGGTGGAAAATAAGGTGGATGGAAGGCTGGCTATTATAAAATTAACTATCTTGTATACTTTTTATGTATCTATTTATTAAATTATATATTAAAAACTATTCTAAATAAATAAAAAAATTCATAATTTTGACCAATTCTATAGAAAAACAGTTATTTTATTCCAAAGGTGTACATATTGTGGGTATTGTTATATAGCGTTGGAA